TCTTGTCACACGTCGTTTAAGTTAACGACGTCTATCAATTCTGGTGAATTTGCAGCGGGCCTCTGGATAATTTCGCTTAAATCACCCTGTAAGAGAAAAATTTATAAAAGTTGTTATTTTATTCTTATTCTCTTATACTCCGTCAGTCGAGTGCACTCGCGCCTCACATAACATTAATACTTACTCGTATCGCTTTGTCGCTGGTGCGATATACGAATAACTGACTCGCAGGTGTCGTTACGTATAAATATATATAACAGAGACGTATTTTACCGGGCACTACACAGCAATTCTCTCTTTATTTTTTTACTTTTTTATTTATTCTTTCTTCCGTCTATTTCTTCTTCTCTCTTGCCGTTAGAGTCCTTACTCGCAGTTATGTACTTTGAGAGAACAAGAGTAAAATAAAAGAAGCTTATATATGTATAATATATAAAATATATATTATACTCCCATCTGCGTCCTCGCGAGACTTGCAATCCCCGGCCACTAGAACACCTTTTTTTCATTTACTCGCGCATTCACGCTCGCCGGAGAATACCTACTTACTTAATTTCTTCTTTTATTTTTTTCATTCCATTTTTTTTTTTTTTTAATTTTGCGGTCGGGAAAAAAAACGCTAAATAGAATATTAAAATTTTATTGCGAGTTTCGCGGGTCGGGTTATAATTATATAATGTAAATAATTATTGTGTGCGTGTACAGATGTGTGCTTATAAAATAAATATATTTATATTATAAATTATAATATATTATTAATGCGATAAATTAAGTTTATTATTATAATAATAATAATAATTATTATTTATTTTACCGTCAGTCAAAAATATCCACAAGCCAAAGAAGTGGAGCTAGTAAATTTTATTGATAATAAATAATAAATATATATTGTAATAATAAATATAAATTTTAAAAATCTCTTTTGAAATATCTCGAGTGGTTGTAAATGCGTTAGCTTAAGAATTATTATAAGATATATATATGTGTGTGTTTTTTATACTTATTGCCAATTTTTATTCCCGTTTATATATTATGTGAAGAAATGTTTGCTGGGTTTTATGGGTGTGGGTGGCTGATAAGGATTTTGTGATAAATTGAGGGAGTCACAATTTTGCTGGAGAAGGTCGTTAAAGAATTCAATGGCTGGGGTGATAAAAAGTATTTATTGGGTGTTCGTTTTTTAATTAGAGAAGATTTAGGGTTTTTAAGACAGTATTTTTTTGATTTTTTGGAAGATAAAAGGAAGTTATGGGAAGAAGAAAAGGTAAGTTTGATTTTTTTTTTTTTTAATGATTAACTTTTGATGGTTTAGTGGGAAGTTTTAAGAAACTAATTAGAAGTTTTGGAAATTTAGGATTGATAGTAAAAAAAAAAATTTTATGTAATTATAAGCATTAAGAAATTTTTTTGATTTAGAATTTAATATTGTTGATTTACATCTTTATTTTTTTATTGACTTTTTAAAAAAAGTTTGTGATTTTTTGTTATAATTAACAATTATCTAATTAATTCGCAGGACTCTAAAGAAAGAATTCAAAAAAAAATTTCTCGATATCTTCACAAGTATGTTAAGAAGAAATTTAAAAATTAATTAATTAATTCATGAGATTATGAAGATATAATTCCAAAAAAAATTTCTTAATCTTTACAAGTATGTAAAGAAGAAATTAAAAAAAAAATTTTTTAATTCATTAATAAATTGATGATACTATAAAAGAATATATAAAAAAAAATTCTTCATATTTTCAGAAGTATGTTGAGAAGAAATTAAAAAAATTATCTAATTAATTCAATAGATAATGAAGAAAAAATTCAAAAAAAAGCGCTTAATATCTTTACGAGTGTGCTGAGAAGAAATTTAAAAATTATTTGATAAATTTATGAGACTACAAGAAGAAATATAAAGAAAAAATTTCTTCATATCTTCACCAATATTTTAAGAAGAAATTTCAAACATTATTTTTAATTAATAAATTAATAAATTCATGAGACTATGAAGAAAATATAAAAGAAGGTTCCTTAATATTTTCACAAGTATATTGAAAAGAAATTTCAAAAATTTTTTTTAATAAAGTAAATTAATGAAACTATGAAGAAAAAATTAAAAAACAAATCTGTAATAATACTAATAAATAAAAAAAATTGAAAATTCCTTCATAAACTTTTAGAAAAATTACCAATAGAAGAAAACTCTAAAATACTATTAACCTAACAAATTATCCACCAGATCGCACTAGGTTCTCATTCCAAGAAGCTATATCAGCGATCTCTCCCTTAGAAGCTACCGATCTTCTTGATTTCTTCTCTAGCTTCTCTACCTCTAAAGGGAAGCTTCCTTACCAACCAACACACAAATGCAAGCAATGAAGTCTTTCACCTTACCGATAAAAATCGGTATCATTCACTAGAGGGCGCTCTGATGCAGAAATCTGATTATAAAAGCAAAATTAACAAACTTAGTTAATCGGCAATCGCAAAAATATGCATAATTCATAGAAGAATTCCAATTGCGTGTACTTACCATAAAATTACAATTGTAAATTAATATTTTACAACTTTGCACATTTTTAAGTTTCTTGCAAAAGAAACTTATTCAAAAATGAACAAATCCGAAAAATGTGAAATCATATCTCGTCCAAAGTAATTAAAGTTACGCTCGTCCTAGTTTTTTCTTTCTTCTTAACAGCAGAACCGCGAAGAAAGTGAGTTTATAAGTAGGTAAGGCGAAGATGATATTTATAAATTATAAATATTAATAAAACATGACTAGTAAGATAAATATATATTTTTCGAACACTTTTTCTCAATATACAAATTCGTCTACATTAAATTATTATTATAATTATAATTTTAATAAATATTAAAATTAAAATTACAATAATAATAAATATATATATATATATATAATTAATAACTACTTACAACTATTAAATCAATGACTTAATATCCTATTGATATTTTATCACGAATCACGTTCGATATAATTTTACAATTAATATATAATTAATCTTCATATAATTAAAAAGTTACTTTTGGCAGCAAATATTGTTTTTTACCCGAATAATCATATACTTCCAGTCACGAGAGAAGATATTAATTAATCATCTTATTTTTTCTCACAACTTTTACAAAAATAATTTCTATCATTCGTAATTTATAATTTATAATTCACAATACAGTATTATTATTATTATTATTGTTGATGTCTTCGACTACAATTTATCATATCAATTTTACACTTGATTTAAATAATACAATATATGTTCCAGTAACCGGCATTGAGACCAGGCACTCGGACAATTCCCATAACGGTCTCAATACGATGTTTTATCATATCATTTGTCGACCTTCGCTCTTATAATTTACAGTACAATTAATAATTATAATATCTCATGAACAATATACATTAATATTCATATTCATTGTTATTTTCAATTGCATTACAGTACAGTAGGCTGCTCTGTGATCAATTTTTGGAAATTTATCTTCCTTCCAATTTATTGAACTAATACAAGCCTGTGTATTAATTCAAGCGGTCATATGCACTTAGAATTTTTTTAAATTAATTTTTATAAATAAATTAATTTTATTTTTGTTGGAAAAAAAGTCAATTTATTATGATAAGTATTTAGACAGCATTCGAAAATACTCTATCTCTAGATTTTTAATTAAGAAATGACCTTATATCTTGTGAACTATTGACATTTTTAAAGATATAAGCTCATCCCGATGTTACACTCATCGAGACCTTTCATTTGAGTACCCACATCGATTTTTCATATATTTATATATTATATATATATATATATATATATGTATATATGAAAAATATATCAAAATACATGTGGGTACTCAAATGAAAGCTCTTGATAAGTAGAACATCGGGATGAGCTTATATCTCTAAAAATATCAATAGTTAAGAAAGTACAGTGCAATTTAACATAATTAAGAAACGACCTTGTATCTTGAGAACTATTGACATTTTTAAAAATATAAGCTCATTCCGATGTTATACTCATCCAGACCTTTCATTTGAGTACCCACATCAATTTTTCATATATTTATATATATTATATATATGTATATATGAAAAATATATCAAAAATGCATGTGAGTACTCAAATGAAAGCTCTTGATGATTGTAACATCGGGATGAGCTTATATCTTAAAAAATGTCAATAGTTAATAAAATACAGACTTTAAAGTTGCTAGTATTAAAGATATTTTAATAAATCCTCGGATTAATTATTAAATAATATTTTTTACATGATTCAAAAAATTATACATAAATAAATTTTAATAAATTTTTACAAAAAATGTACCTTCAGAAGAAATCCTAAAAAATAATTTTTTCCATCCTAACTACATACAACCTCTCAATTAATAAATTATAAATAAAATAAAATAAATATAATTATCCAGCAGGTAGCACCGTTCTTAAATCTCAGTAAGTATGTCATAAAAATCCCTCTCATGTTGAAATAAAATTTCCACCCTCGTCCTGAGAATCTTTATTATTTCTTCACCCAAAGTTGTGACAGAACTTCTTACTCATACAATTAATAATTCACCATTATCATTATTATTATCATTAGTATGTGCGATGTCGCCTACACACGATTAAAATGGCCACTTGACACTGATGCCGCCTTTTCTTCTCAAGTATTTATTTATGTCGCAATCGCAAATCGATCATATTTAACATTAAACATTATAAATCCAACATAACGTGAGACTCTCTTGTTCAATTCAATTTATTAATTATATATCACTATTAATATTAATATCAACGCTCTTGGATAACAAGCTCTTACTTTTAACTATTGATTTCATAAACTCATTATCATTATCTACTTTTTAAAAATATATTTATGGATTTACTTAGCGTTTATGTCGAAAGAAAGTTGGATTTAAAATCGAGAGGACGAGAGCGTTGTACGGATATCTGCACTCGTGTGTATATTTATATTTATAATTATTATTGTAATTATAATTACAATTCAAACGATTACACTCAACTGTATAATAATAATAATACAAATAAATATCATGTGAGATAAAGTTAGCTGTAAGCTTCACGCTTTTTAATTGCGGGCTTGCCCATTTTACCCATATTTATCAACTCATGTCATATTTATACGTTTTATACACAAATAAAATATCTCTTTCTGTTAAATATCTCAGTCTGTAACCTTCTATCTGCTAAGATACCGATTAACGCTTAATTGTTTCTATAATGAAATTTTTTTAACGCTTTAATTAAACGGACAGCGGCCAGCAAATGGTCAATCGGGATCGGGGATTGTTAATGCTACTCGGAGGAAGCGACGTATACATTTACCAGATAGTGTTTGCGTAAATTACATAGACATTTTACATTGCACGGGTATTTCACGAGACGTTAATCAATATTGGCTGTATATCGAGTAGCCGATCGCAAAGCCCGTCCGAGTGTAACGAATGTCTGCTGTGTGAAGAGAAATTCTCGCGGTTGAATGACACGCTCGAAATTTAAACAAGGGCTGCGGTTAAGGCTTTATTTGTTCCCTTTTTACAGACAACTTTGCGTTCGAGCTAACAACTAAACCTTTTACGTCGTCTAAAACAAACAACCGTTTAATTGCTTTTTTTTTTTACAATTTTATCATTATTTCTTAGATAGAAAAATTTATTCGGACAAAAAAAAATTGTGTTTTTTTTTTAATGAAGAATTTTTTCTTTTTTTAATTTTTTAGCAGATATTTGACAATTTTTATCCTAAATTAATTATAAAAAAAAATATTTATGCATTAAAATTTTTTTAATTGGCAATTATTAATTTTTTTACATTTTTAGTGGTACAAAAATTAAAGCTAGCTTTCATTTGACAATTTTTTAATTTTATTTAATAAACAAATTTGTTTAAAAAAAATTGCATTTTTTTATTTATTAAAATTTTTGCATGTTAATTTTTTTTGCCATAATTAATTTGTTAGAAAAAAAATTCGGTAAATATTTACAAGTGGGGTCAACAATTTTAATTTTGATTTTTTTGAACGAAATTTCTATTTGATTTTGTTGATATATTTTTTTTTTTTAAATATATAAAAAAATGAACAATTTAAAAAAAAATTTGATTATCACAATTTTAACAAATTTTAAAAATTTTCAAAAAAATTTATAAATTTAAAAAAAACATTTGTGATATTATCATTTATCTGTGAGTATGTTCATCTAATCTTATCTTTTTTTTTATCTGGCAGGACAACGTTGGAGATGTTTTTTTGATAATTTTCTCCAGAGTGAATCCATGAGTTTGAAATAAAAAAAAAAAATCAAAACGTTAGTTAAAACTTGGTCAACGAACGAATCAAATCAAAATTCAACTAATAATATAAAATGCCCGTAAAAATAATTTTGTTATTGATTGTGACACACATTGGTTTATCAAATTCAGTAAGTCAAAATTTGAAATAAAATTAACTAATTTATATACCTTTGATTTCTATAATATTATATCTTAGACATTCAGGACTTTTGGATCAAAGGTTCCGTGTTCAAGATTAGAAGTAGAGATTTCTAGAAACGGCACTCGAGAGCTAATAGATGTTGATCATTTTTGGCCACCCGTCAAAAGATTGAAATCTGATTTAGAAAATAATATCGTCTCACATATTTATGGCATAGAAGGATCAGAATTATCTAATATTTTTTATAAAAGGTGTGGTGGAACTGCCAAAAGGTTGACAACGAAATTTCATTGAATTGAAAGATTTTCTGCTAAAAAATCAAGCGGCTGGTAGATCGTTGCACCATTTTACCGTACTCAACTGTCCACTGTTTAACCATGACCAAAAACGTTATACGTATTAGAGGGTTCGGGAATTCAACTTTGTTATTATATTTTCGACAATCACGATTGCTGTTAATTATTATGTAATTTTTAAACAATACACTAATTTTATATAATTGTCAATCGAATAATTTTATTTATTACCTTTATTACGTAAGATTAAAAAAAATTTGAAAATGTTAATTTTTCACCTAGTTATAGCCAAAAATGTATGACCCCACTTGTAAATAATAACCAAAAATTCTTAAAATTATCAAATATCTGCCAAATTAATTTTAATTGTTAAAAAAAAATGTTTAGTCAATTTTTAATTAATAAATAACTATTAATTTATAAAAATTTATGTTTTTAAATGTGAAATTTAATTTTTCTAAATATTTTTTTTGAATCAATACTTAATTATATTTTTTTTTTTATTCAAAATGTTGATAAATAATTTTATTTAGTCAATCTTATATTTTTCCCAGTGCAAATAGAGCAAAATAACGGTGGAAAGAGACACCGTGGATTTATCAGCAGAGTGATATTGTCAACGGGCCGTGAAACGTTAGGATGTTCCTGGCGGAAGTTTATACATACATACATACATAGGAACGGTGAAAGAGACAACGTGTTCTAGAACGGAAGTATATCTACAATGCGCAGCGACGAGTTAAGAACAACGTACCGTGAAATCGTTGCCTAGGAATCGGTGTCGTCCATTACGGATGATGATGCTGTCCTCATCCTCGTCATCCTCAACATCCTCATTGTTGTCATTTCGTCGTTATTATTATCTTCGTCATTATCTATTATTATTATTATAATTATTATTAGCATTAATATTTAAATAAAAATCAATATTGTTTTTATTAACAACTGCTGAGTTAGAGGTGAGCGAGGACCTCCACGGCAGTTGATACAGGAGGTGTCTGGTCCCCGCTGAGAATCACCGGTTCAGACTCCGTTTGGACGATCCTCACGAGGTTCGCGTCCTTTTTAGTCGAGGGTGCCAGGGTCGCATTTGGCGTGACGTTTCCGCGGCCGCAGTAACTCGGAGGTCGGCTCTCCCGAGTTGTACAAGGCGCGATTATGCTCGCGGCGTTAGATCTGTAGGTCGGAGGTGGTGAGGAGGTAGGTTGAAGTCTGTCCAGCAGCAGCAATCGCAGTCTGTACTCCTGCATACTGGCCTGGTAAATAAAATATTTTATTAGTCATTAACATGGATATTTACTTTTATTATTTGAGTGTTTTAATTTTTAATTGAGAATTTAAGGCTCTTTTTTTTTAGGTCACACCGCTAGTCAAATTCAGGCTAACTGTTTTTACATTTTATTTATAAGAAATGTTTTTAAGTGATTTATTTAGTTGTTTAAAAAATTTATATTAAAAAAATTACTAGTTTTTAAAAATAATTAGTTGTTTAAAATAAAGAAAAAATATTAATTTTGCATTTAAAATACTTTATCTCTAGATACATAATTAAAAAATGACCTTGTATCTTGTGAATTATTGACATTTTTAAAGATATAAGCTCATTCTGAAGTTACACTCATCAAGACCTTTCATTTGAATACCCACATCAATTTTTCATATATTTATATATATATATATGAAAAATATATCAAAAATGCATGTGGGTATTCAAATGAAAGCTCTTGATGAGTGCAACATCGGGATGAGCTTATATCTTTAAATATATCAATAGTTAAGAAAGTGCAGTGCAATTTAACATAATTAAGAAACGACCTTGTATCTTGAGAACTATTGACATTTTTAAAGATATGAACTCACCCCAACATTACACTAATCAAGACCTTTCATTTGAGTACCCACATGGCATTTTTCATATATTTTATATATATGGTATTTGTGAAATATATAAATGTATAAAATATATGAAAAATTGATGTGGGTACTCAAATGAAAGGTCTCGATGAGTGTACCATCAGGATGAGCTTATATCTTTAAAAATGTCAATATTTAAAAAAGTACAGTGTATTTTAACAAAATTTATTATTTGGTAAAGCAAAATTTTATTTATTTATATTTTACAAATCACGGAAGTCACGTAGTGACTTCAAGGTTGCTATTAAGTTATTAATAAAAAAAAAAATCTTTTTTTCTTTCAATTAAAATAGTTTTCTAAAGTAAAAAAAAATAACTATTTAATTTTTCTTAAATAAAACAAAAATTATCTGTTAATTTAAAAGCCTTGAATCCTCAACTATAATTATCATTATTATTAGCAACATTGAGTCAGTCCCCATAATAAACTCAAGATTATATCCCATCTAAAAAACAAAACCAAAAAAAAGTGCATAATAAGAATAACGAGGGGCACAGTTGTCACGTTCAACGACCCATTTATCTACCTGGTAACTCGGCGGTGGTGTTCTGAACTGGAATTCCGGATAGATCATGGCCGCGTATGGATGCATCGGCCTCGCCGGTGGAATCCTCGCGGAGATGCCCGTGAAACCGAAGAAGCTGCCGCAATTTTCTCGGCTGGTCACTCGCCAGGCGACTCCGCTCACCGTCAGCAAGACCACTCCTATACCTGCAACGATAAGTGATCCTTAGAGTTGGATACAACACACATGCTCCAGCCGCATCAAGCCGCATCAAGGTAGCCAGGTTCTTTTGCCCCCTACCATTATTTTTTCCTCCATTACCATTATTATTTTTTATTTTAATTCCCGTCCTCATATATATTTGCTTTTTGTCTCAACTTTTTTCCTTTTAGTCATAATACACAGCATCGGAGCTTGTTTAAAGTTAAAACCCGAAGCAGTGGTGGCTCGCACACAGTACAGAGAACTACTTCCAGCACGCAGTACATATGGTATGCATTGCATTGCTAGTACTGCAACTGAATGTTGGATATATGTTGGATGCTGGAACTGGATAGAAGAGGAGTAGTCAGTACAAGCTGAAAGAAAGATACCGACGTACATCCGACGTGCTTTGTTCCATCCGCCATTAGTGCGGTACATGTGTATTTACAAAACGCCACTGACAAACTCATACGTTTATGTTTATACTCACAATTACACACGTATTATATATTTTGCGAGTTTGTTTGAGGTCCTCGAACCTGCTGCTATTGCCCAGACGCTCTTACAACTCAGTATCTACTCCACAGCACCGAATAATACATACATTTCGATCTCTCTATACGCTGCTGTTGACAATATTGCTACACACAAACTCACTTGAGTGTGTACAGTACAACATTTAATTCAATTCTGTAATTTCCAGCGAGTAGAGTCCTTTCCAGCCAAACTAATTGAGAGTCTCTCAACTCTGTCTCTGTATTATCCTATTGAGTTACAACTTCTTTCCCCTACATTTCTTTGATTATAAAAAACTACTCTAGTTACATTTACAAGCAATCGAGATAAATGTACTTTGTTAATTTAATTTATCGCTTGAACTTTTGAAGATTAAAACTTGCGAAACTTTAAATAAATTTTAACTACTATAATTTTGCTGTTTAAGTGAAAGCTATTTATTAACTTTAAATTAATGTGTAATTGCTTGTAAAAATTTAATTTTAATAATTTATTTTAGTTATTATATTTGCAGCTTTGTGATATTATTTTTATGAGTTAAATAAAATTAGTTATTTAAAATTATTTTATGTTAATATTTAACCTTCGGATATTTTCTTTGTTTTGATAGTATATTTATTATTCTTTGTTTGAGTAACATTATCATTATCATATTTTCAATATATTCCATCATAAATTATCACTTGATTTAATTTGTTTATCCATGCTAAAAAAAAAATCATTTTTTTTTTTTAGATTAAAGAAATTAAAAAAAAAAATTTTCTTAAAAAATTCCAATTTCGGCGCGTACTTTGCGCAATTATCCACAATACGGTACTATACCAAGTGCAAGTGTGGGTGATGGCACTTATCGAGTGTGCCTCTCGCTCATTCACCCATTTACATTTACGTTGTGAACATGACCAGCGAGCGAGTGAGTGAGTGTTCCTTTGAATGCAACGATAAGCTTCGGGTCTTAGGTTATAATTCCATATTACATCCAATACCAATACCAATACTATTACCAATACTAAGCCGACGTTTAGAAAGTAACCGACTACAACCAGCCATAGCTCCGTTCTACTCGTACTCCAGGGCACAATCTTTCTCTTTCTCTTAAAACCCGTGGCTCTTTCTCTGGAGCCAGGGCCGCATCAAATCCTCCAGCTAGCCCGCATACTAATTTTCCTTAAATCCTGATCAGCTGGGTAATCGCTTCAAGAGCACTAATTGTTTCGGTTCAATGGAATTGATTTAGAGCCAAGGTTTTTTCCAAAATTTTTAAATTAATGGTTTAAATTTTTGATATTACATAGAAAAAAAAATTTACTTGAATCAAGTAAATAATTTTGAAGATAATTTTTAAAATCCAAAACCAAGAAGATAATTATCCTTGATTTGAGTAGAAAAATTTTTAAACTAAGAAATTTTCCTGGTTTTAGTAAATTTTACTTGATTCAAAAATTTTTCTCTTGATTCAATTGAATTTTTTTTCGGTATACAGCGAAAATATTTGCCCTATAAAAATAGTTGTGAAAAAAATAAGTTGTAGGAAAATTAAATTTTCTAAAAAATGTTTCTTATGATTTTTTTATTCACGAAAAAGAGAAAAATTACATTAAAAATAGTAGGTAATAAGTGTCGCTTTACTTAAAAAACTCTAAAAATTTCAGTTCAAAATAACATTTTTATAAATTCAAACTTTGAATGTTAATTTTCAGAGCTTTCAATGTAATATTTACTATTTAATAATATTTAATATTTAACAAATCATTTATTAGTCCTTAAAAAATATTTCTTAGTATTTTAAAAGATTTATTAATATTTAATAAATGAATATAAGATTTATTAAATACAAAAAAATCATTTTAAATACTAAGAAATATTTTTTTAATACTAAAAAGTGGTCTCTAATAAATGATTTGTTTATTAATAAATATTTTTTAATACAAATAAATCTTTCTATCAGTGTGTAATAATTACAATCTGAAACTGTATTTTTTCCAATTTTTTATATAATATAATTTTTCTCATTTTCTTTTTTCCATATACAACAAATATTTTTACCATAATTCCAAAGTTAAAAATATTCATAATTTATCATTTTAATTTTTGCTAATTATAAAAATCTTAATTTAAAAACCACAACTTTTTCATTGATCTTAAAAAAATAAGACATTTTTTTAAATAAAATTAACCATTAAAAAATTTTTTATCCGACCAAAAATTAAATGCCATTAATTAATTATTTTTTATTTAAAAAAAAAACCCTAATTATTTATCAGCAGGTTATGGGCCCAGTCTTAGTATCCGCCGTTCTTTGTACAAAGACTTACACTGTAAGATTGAAGCAATTCTCATCATTATATTTATTTTTATTTATACTAAACATTGAATCCTCGATACCTGGAGTTTTTGTTAAAGATCGATTGGTACGACCTTAAGCATAAACACATAGCTTGGTTGGGCATATAATGTGTTTTATGTAAAACTGGTTACCAGCTGAAGAATAATCTCCACAGTAGACAGTAGACAACCACACACATTACCATCACAGAGCCAGCCAGCCAGCCAGCCAGCCAGCATCAGAGGACGGACAAAGATAGTCCAGACATGGTTGGTATGTACCTATAGCATGAGAAACGACTTAATTTCATTATGGAAAATGACCAGTTTCCAGCTGGTGGCTGTTAGCTGTTCTGCTGTGAGCTGTCGTATCCTCAGTCTTGTGTTTAGCTCAAGGCTCCGCTTCCTTAGAAGTAGTTATTGCTTGAATCTTTAGTCTGAATATGCCGATGATGATGACGGGGGATAATTTGCTAGCCGCTGCATCCATAATTAACCGCAGCAGTTAGCTCCAACTATTAATGCGACTTAATTATCGAATTGTCGCACTTGAGCTCGCTAAATCAATGCTACTGCTACGGGCACCGGTTGCGCAATTTCTTGATGGGTTTTCCAAGTAAGCTTACATTACACATAACAGTTATATTATTATGTTGATACTGTAATTATGCAAGCGCATTTAAATGCGCTGACAAAGAGAAAATATCTATTATTTACTAGCTGATATTTTTTTTTAGCGACAAGGCTGATCTCTTTATTTGTATTCATATTTGTTAGCCAAGCATTGGGCCCGAGGTCTCTCCTCAGCCTTTATCTAACTGTTGGAGTCAGAGAGAGAGAAGAGATGTAGGACTAGGACGAGCAGTTTGTAGGGTATGACGTAGACTGTACTGCTGAATTTGGGGATCCCGAAATTGACCTAATTTGCGGTGCGCAAGAAGCGTTGCGGACGCTAATTGTTCTTTTTTTCTATTGAATTTAAAATACGAGGCTTTTATTTAATTATTTTTGTTTAAAATTTTATTCATTAATTATTGAGGTAATTTTTTTTTAATGTATTGACTCAAGATTCTATTTTTATTTGTGGATTTTATTTTACTACCGCAAAAGTTGGCAACGTTGCACAAAGAAAAGTTTGTGATGAAAATTACCCGCAATTTATATCAGACCGGGTCATTTCATGAAATAAAAGAACTGAGGAAAGAATGAAGAGTTATTTTTATTGAAGTACCCACGATAGTAAAAGAAAGAAAATTTTTTTTGCTGGATAAATTAAAACTATTTTTAAGTTTAGAAAGTTTTGTTGGAAAAATTTATCTAGGTAATTTTTATTTAAAGATTGTGAAGATTAGAGGATCTTTCGATCTTGCAATAATTTTTATTATTTTTAACCTTTTAATAATAACGATTGATATCATTTATTTCTGAGATACTATGGCGTAATTTAATCATTGATCATTGCTATAAGAAATATTGTTTCATAAATATCAATCACGATCATTGAAGTTATAAAGTCAATTTAATTTACTATTATAAATTCTTGAGTCATATTAAAAAAAAATTCTTAAACTAAGAAATTTTTTTTTCTTAAGAAATTTTTTAATAAATTAAAAAAAAATTTTTTTTCCTTAAATAAAGAAAAATTGATTTTTAAGTTGAGAAATTTTTCTCCTAAATTAAATTCATTTTTTTTTTTTGATAAATAAATATTAATAAATTCTTAAAAAATTTTAAATAAATTTTTAATTTTCTGGAAAGTAATTTTTTTAAAGCATAAAAAATATTAAATTAATTAAAAATTTTCTGTACTACTTTCCACTTAATTGAATCCGAAGAACTTTTACCTCTAATAAAGAAAAAAGAATGAAAAATCCAGTGAAGTAAATCAAATTCAAAAATAGAGCAATCTTTATAAATATAAATTTAAATATGAATATGAATAAAATAACAATCGTAAGTAATATTAACTCTGAAATTCTCTCCATATATGCCCGTGCATTATCAAATATAGAATCAAGTCAATACAATAAAGTAATACATTATCATAGACATGTAGCCAGAAATATGCCAGCCGATCGACGGCTGTCTGTTGCGAGTTGATTTAAATGGACACGCCATTCCAATGTTTAATGTTGGAGAACAATTTATCCAAAATAGCTTTTGTCATGAAGACACAAGTGGGTCACGAAAATGGGCGTGTATTCTCGATAGAATGATACCAGCAGCTCAACTCTCTCGATCTATCTCCTTCGAATCGGTCTTTCTCCTCCTCTCTCTATGCTCGGTACTCTCTCCTGAGGAAACTCGGATTGAAAATAGATTCGCCGGACTGCAATACACTTTATCGGCTTATCCGAGCTATCAATTTCACTATCCCCCCCCCCATATCCTAATCATATCCTGACGGACGGGAATCATCCGTTTTTTTTTTATATCTACTCTAGATTTATCAAAATAAATACAAATTACATTTAAGAATGTTAATAGTCATTACATACTTATATATTTGATTTGATTAGATTGTGGTGACAGGAATAAATATCCAAGATTGTAATATTCATGAGAGTTCAATTAATAGTAATCAATTATCAATTTCATTACAAGCTTAAAAAAAAATTAACAGACATAATAAATTATTTAAAAAATTCCATTCATCATTTTTTGCAACTCTTCAAGCGTGAATTTTTTTAAAAACTTCTTTTTATCTATAAAAATAAGTATATTAAAATAACTTTTTATATTTTAAATAATAAGTAATTTTTTTTTATGTTTTAAAAAAATTTTTGCGATTAATAATGAAAATTATTAGTTTTTTACAAATTAAAAAATCATAATTTTTTAATTATTATTTTAAAAAAAATTCAATATTTAAAAAATATCAAGACATTAAATTTTACAATTATTAAATGGAATAAAATTCAGTAAAATTTTTTAACAGTTTAATTAACTAATTTTATTAATAAAAAAAACTATTTTTTTTTATTTATAAAAATTAGTAAATTAAAGTAATATTTTATGTTTTAAAAAATAAGTAATTTTTTGTTTTTTTCTATTAATAGTTTTTAAAAAATTCTTGCAATTCAAAATGATAATTATAAATTTTGGAAAAATTACAGAAATTATCATTTTTTAATTTTTATCTTTAATAAAAAAATTTCAATTAAACAAAAAAATTAAGACATTAAATTTTATGTTTATCTAAAGGAATAAAATTTAGTAAATTTTTTAACAATGCAATTAACTAGTTTTATCAATAAAAAAAATTAATTAGTTCATAAAAATTTTCAAAAAATCATTTGTCTGTAAATTTAAATATCAAACTAATTAATAAACTAAAAAATTTTCATGAATATTAAATGTCCAAAAATTGGATATCCATCCTGACCTCTAATCCCAGATGACTCACTCAACCATCAATCCTAAAAGAACCGATCAGCACATAATATAAAACTGAATACAAGTAACAGTGGTCTTACCAATCATGAGAAGTGATACGGCGATGTGGTCGCGACCGGTTGCCCTGAGGGCGCCAAGTAGAGCCCCCGCAGCTGCACAAACAAGACCCACAATGCCCACGCCGAGAATGGACCAGCGAACGGGAGGCGAGCCGAGTCCGCAACACTGCTTCGGCACTGCGTCTCTGCAAGAAATAACAGCCAGAGTTTAAGTCGAGCTGAGTATAGAACACTGACCCACTGACACAGACTCTATCCTTTTTATTTCACCGGACTATCTTGTAGTTGTTTAAGAGCACCACCATCGAGAATATGCATTAGCACCGTGCTCGCTGCTGGTACATGATCATCATCATCATCATCATCATCATCTACAATCCACTACAACCTGGTGATCTTAAACAACTACTAACTACATCAATATCAATATCAATAACTATAACTATAACTACAACTACATCTGCAATTACTAGATGCTGTCTCTGCTATTTCAAAGCCAGCAAGTAAAGCGCTACATATAATAGGTACATATATGATACAGAGTACAGTACAGAGCAATCAGTTTGCTCGGTTTTATTTACCGTATAGTATTCCTATCCAGAATAGAAGCGCTACGTTTATGTACATTAGTATAACTCATGTATGTCTAGAGAAATTTAACAGAAATAATAAAAACGCGTTCACGATAATGATGAACGGAATAGAAAGTGCACTATTCTCTCAGGCTTTTAGATCTATATATATATATAAATATAAATAATGGTATTAGTGGAGGCAGAGAGAAGAAACAGAGAATCAGATTTCCGCGTTACACGATCGAGCGTACTAAGAAAATAGTTAAACTAAAACGTGATGCTCTACTCGCAATCTGAAGGAACGTGTTCGATAAAATTAAACCCGAGATCAACAGCAACATCTAGGATCCAGGATTCAGGATCTGATTCAGTGTGACGTAATTCAAATCCACAACCTGTGCAAAAAAAATTGTCATTCAAAATGAATTTAAGATTGAAATTCATATTTTGACACAAATATGAATTAGTTTTGAGATCAATCCAAATTTGAAATTGATTTGTAGATAGAAATTAGCACATATCAGAATTTTAATAATGACTTAAAAATATTTAGGATTAATTTTATATATAAAATATTCTCAAGTCCTTATTAAAAGTGAAAATTACCAATTTTTTACAAATTAAAAAATCATAATTTTTTAATTATTATTTAAAAAGAAAAAATTCAATATTTAATAAAAATCAAGACATTCAATTTTACAATCATTAAATGGAATCAAATTCAGTAAATTTTTTTAACAATACAATTAACTTATTTTATTAATAAAAACAATTTTTTTTTTTTATCTATAAAAATTAGTAAATTAAAATCATTTTTTTAATTTGCGGCAGTCACAGTGACTGCAAGGTTGCTAGTATTAATTAATTTTTTTTCATAAGAAGAATTTGAAATTTTAAATACCGTAAAATAATTTTCAAATTGATATTTGTGTCAAAATATGAATTTCAATCTTAAATTCATTTTGAATCAGAATTTTTTTTTTGCAGGGAAAATAAGAGGGGATTTTAAAGGCTTGCTGATATAAAAGAAGTGCGAGAAGTGAAGATAGGAAAAGAAAGGAGGATTTAATCTAGCTGTGTCGTAAATTAGACGGGTAGTCGTCATGAGAATAATGCACGAGTACATGCTGGTGATGTGTGTGTACTGCACTGTTCCGGACTATTAAAGTACGCCGGTGTAACGGGAACATTTGGCCGAGCACTCCAATAAATTATCGATTTTCCTTGGGGAACTCACCTCCGGGAAAATACGTTTAACCGGGTGGAAGCGCTAACTTTCGAGGGGCGAAAAGACCCGGTATCTAAATCGAGGCGACGTACTTTAAGTAAGCAAACGCCAAATTTTCCTGGGAATAAATATATGGTTGGTTGTTTCTACTCTGGCTCAAGAGTGACACCGATTAAGGCTAACTTTGTTAGCCTGAGGACTTTTTGGCTGTTGGTGGATGCTTTTTTAGGAGGGAGAAAAGTTTAGAGCCGCGGGGGAGTTTGGGTAACTCTATTTTGGGAATTTGTTAAGGTATGCTTGAAAACTCGGGCTTGTTTTGTGAATTAATTCGAGAGCTTTTATGATAAAAATAAATTAATTTATCAAGAAAAAAATTGTTTACTTTAATTTTGTTTTTTTTTTTTTCTAGAAAAAGATTAAAGATTTAATATTCATTGAGTTAAATTTAAAATAAGCTCTTTTTATTTAAATTAAAAAGAAAAAATTTTTTTTTAGTTTTTATTAATTTTAATTGATTCAAAAACTTCTTTGATTAATTTAAAAAACTTCTACAAAATAATTTTTTTTTATTAAAATTAATTTTTTATTCAGTAAAAAAATTAATTTACTGACATTGAATTGATTGTTATTAAAAACTTCAGCTAATAAATAAAGTTTTAATTCATTGATTTAAATTGAAACAAAAGTGAAATTTAGAAAGTTAGATTATTAAATAAATTTTTTTTAAGTCTTAATAAATATAATTTTCTTTCCAAAAAATAAAAAAAAAATTAATATTAAAATTTTTTCTAATTAAGTATTAAGAGTCCAATAAAAATGAAATCTGATTGAATTCTCTTTCATAATTTTCCAAAGCGACATTATTAACTAGAATGAAGGATGATTTATAACAAAGTTTATGCATTGTATTCACTTTTGTTTCAATTACTTTCTTTCCTACTTCAACAAACATATATTGATTGATATAAATCAAAGTTCTTTTTAATAGATAAAAAGTAATTTCTTTTAAAAAAAACTCTTCAATTGAATATAGTATAAAAAAATAAAATCCAACATTTCAATCAATCATTATCTCCAATTCCTTCAATACCTTAAATTTAAAAAAACTCGTCGCTTTTCTCTGGAGAATAATTCAAGCTGAGCCGAGCATTGTCATTTTTTTTTGGGTAGTTGGACGTGCATGGGCCATTGGCCCCGAGTGTTTTTGAGGGGGCTCCGAGTGATTCACGAAATAAAGTTGATCCGAGGACGAGGGGCTGATGTACGTGAGCTTACAGAGTTAACGACTGGGGACGAATAATATGAACAGCAGTGTAACAGCGTACCCCTGCTAGTCTACGTATATTCTGCTTGTAATGCCAGTGGCTCGTGATCCACCGCTGTAATATGTATGTATGTATGTATGCAACGCAATCGCTCGTCCAAATGGAACATGAATATCCAACTTTACTGGTTATTTTATTTTATTTTTTCCCTCCCGGTTTTCATTCTCTCTGCCGTTCTATCCTCAATTCTGACTAGTTTATTATAATGCTCGGGGGATATAACGAGATCCGGCTGATAAAAGGAATGAAATTTCGATATAAGTTTAGTTTTTTATAACTAATAGGGGTACTATATATATTGAAATGTCAAAAAAAAATTTATTATTTTTTTTTTTTTAAATAAATAATGCATTTAAAAAATTTTTTTGATAGAAAAAAAATCTAAAATTTAAGCTTAATATTTTTAAAATTAAATTCTAATTTTCTTCCTATGAATTTAAGCAAAAAAAATAAAAAAAAAATATTCAATTTTTAAAAATCAATAATTATTTATTAATCAAAAATTTTTAAAAATTGACTAAAATATTTTTTTTTCACCATTAAAATTAATTTAAAAAATATTTGGTAATTTTAAGAATTTTTTCGTAATTTAAATAAATTTTAGTTGATTTAAAAATTTTTTTCTTGATTCCAATTAATATTTTTTTTCTTTTCATTGTACGTAAAAGTATACAGGCATGAAACTCTGGATTAGAACAGTTGGTTTATTTTTTAGAACGGACAAAGATGAAAGATGAAAGAAATAATAGCAGAGGAAAATAAAAAACAAATAAAATGAACACAAGCTCGCTCGGTTGCTGCTCATTACTTGGAGAAAAAATACACAGTAACCCAGTGACACGTGGGAAATCCGCGCCTACTATCGCCTCGGTGAATCGTAATTAGAGGCACTATTGAATTTCTCCGTGCCGGCTGCGGGCTCTACTCTGACTTGTACTGTTCCTCTACTCTGTATCTACCCGGCATGAGTATGAGGAAAAATCCTGCCTCGGTATAATATAACGAGCCTTTGTGATGAGCATTGTAGATGCAGTGCGTATTATATAAATTATAAATGAAAAAATGAGTAGTCACCAAGTAAGTTTATTTATCAATTAATCTTTCATCTTTCTCGCGTTCTTCAATTCTGTTCTTATTCTTGTTTAATTTGAAGCGGATATCTCTCGGAAAAAGTGATAGCTCCAGAATTATAAATAATTATCCAGGGATAATGCTCGGTAATATCTTATCTAGCAACTTTGCAGTCACTATGTGACTTATGAACTGCAAATAAATAAAATTTTGCTTTATTAAATAATTATTTTTGTTAAATTACACTGTACTTTCTTAAATATTGAAGTTTTTTAAGATATAAGCTTATCCCGACGTTACACTCATCAAGAGCTTTCATTTGAGTACCCACATGCATTTTCATATATACATATATATATAATAGATATAAATTTATGAAAAATTGATGTGGGTACTCAAATAAAAGGTCTCGATGAGTGTAACATCAGGATGAGCTTATATCTTTAAAAATGTCAATATTTCACAAGATATTTATTAAATTGCGCTGTACTTTCTTAAGTATTGGCATTTATAAAAATATAAGCTCATTCTGATGTTACAGTCATCGAGAGCTTTTATTTGAGTACATAAAAGGTCTCGATGAGTGTAACATCAGGATGAGCTTATATCTTTAAAAATGTCAATATTTCACAAGATATTTATTAAATTGCGCTGTACTTTCTTAAGTATTGGCATTTATAAAAATATAAGCTCATTCTGATGTTACAGTCATCGAGAGCTTTTATTTGAGTACCCACATGCATTTTTATATATTTTTCATATATACATATATAATATATGTAAATATATGAAAAATTGATGTGGGTACTTAAATGAAAGGTATTGACGAGTGTAACATCGGGATGAGCTTATATCTTAAAAAATGTCAATAGTTCACGAGATACAAGGTCATTTCTTAATAATGCATCTAGAGATAGAGCATTTTCGAATGCAGTCTAAATACTTTTCATCATAAATTGACTATTGATGAAAATGATATGAAACCATGAAAAAGCACAACTCCAGGTCAAGTCTTTTCCAAAGATACCAAATTTAACCATAAAAAACCCATTTTATCATATAAATACACTGGCCATAAAATTTTACTTATACTCTTAATAATATAGATGACACGTACGTAGGGAAAAGTTTTAAGGCTTTGTTATCGTGACAGACCACGCGTCACAGTAATGTAAATAAATCTTTAATTCTAGTTCATTGTCTTGACTGTACTAGTACTATACTGGCAATCCAGCGATTCATCGCTTCCGGTTCGGGAATTTTTCTCATAAATCTCTGATATTCATACATGAGTGTGTGATAATAATAAAATTTGTGTGCTGCCTTTGTCTTTGTATGTAAAAGTCTACTGTAGGCAGTGTTTAGTATCGAGCTTAGAGTGTGTATACACTTCTGACGTATCTCCCTGACATACAAGCCACGATTCAATGAACAGGAAGAAAAGAGTACATTCATCACACACCTGACGTAGTGAAACTCGAAAAAAACGTTAAAAAGATAAAATTATTATAAGGATAATACTTATATATATATATATGAAAGAAAAAACAACACGTGTTTAACTTTAAAACTCTTACCAAGGACGCGGCTCATTCTCAACTTCTCGGCGAGGTTTTGTGCCCGCACAGTGTAACTCCATTGCTATATGGGTTTATTGTGTGTATGGGTATGGCTAATATTGCCTCACAGTTCACATACATTTATATATTTATATATTTATACATATTATATTATATGTACAAATACATGGCAACTTTTTCTTTACGTAGATACAATGATAATAATAAATGACAATGGGTCTGTTTCTAAATAATGTTGGGTAAAAAGATAAAAATCCAAGTCATTCGTCAAAGAACCGAGGAATTTAAAAAAGATAATTGGCTTGTCGGGTTAAACGTCGGCTGGCGTGTTAAATTAAGGACGTTCATAAGTAAGGCTCATATTTTACGAAAAATCAAATATTTGATAGCTTGAATGAATTTATGCTTGGTAATCGTGAGTGGAAATTTTGCAGTTGGTTATTATTATAAATTTATTTTATTTATTCAAGCTTTAAATAAAAAGTTTTATGTTTAAATAGTAAGAATTTTTATGAAAAATTAAAAATTATAGTAAAAAATTCACATTGCAAATGTTTTGAGTTGATTTTGTGCCTTTTCAAGGTTTCATATCATTCTCACCCATAGTAAATTTATTATGATAAGTAATTAGACTGCATTCGAAAATACTCTAGATACATAATTAAGAAATGACCTTGTATCTCGTGGACTATTGACATTTTTAAAGATATAAGCTCATCCTAATGTTACACTCATCGCGACCTTTCATTTGAATACTCACATCAATTTTTCATATATTTTATATATTTATATATTTTACAAATACTATATATATATATAAAAAATATAAAAAATGCCATGTAAGTACTCAAATGAAAGGTCTTGATGGGTGTAACATCGAAATGAGTTTATATCTTAAAAAATGTCAATAATTAAGAAATGACATTGTATCTTGAGAACTATTGACATTTTTAAAGATATAAGTTCATCCCGATGTTACACTCATCAAGACCTTTCATTTGAGTACCCACATCAATTTTTCATATATTTTATATATTTATATATTTCACAAATACCATATATATAAAATATATGAAAAATGTCATGTGGGTACTTAAATGAAAGGTCTCGATAAGTGTAACATCGGGATGAGCTTATATCTTTAAAAATTTCAATATTTAAGAAAGTACCGTGCAATTTAACAAAAGTAATTATTTAATAAATCAAAATTTTATTTATATATAGTTCACAAGTCACAGAGTGACTGCAAGGTTGCTAGTTAAAATAAAAATAAAATTTTTCTCTGAACTGCAAAATAAATCGAAGCTAGTCCCAATTAACCCAGCTCGAGCCTAGCTACAAAGTCCTTTCAAACCGAAAAAAAAATAAAAAAAATAGACTGCTGACCTGCCAAAGGCGGACACACTGGCCGGCACCGGAAACGGCAGACCCAAGCTGAGCCCCCTCAGACCCAGGTGTGGCGGCGGGGGGTGTAGATACCCACCCACGGGCGGCACTAGCGGCATTCCTGGCGCAGTTCCAACACCTGCATTAGCTTGAACACATCCAGGTCCCCCGGGATATGTCGGAGGCATGGAGCAGCTCCTCATGGCCCTGCGGTGGTGTCTTCTCACCCGTCTCTCCCTTCTCCTGGCGTCTCTGAGATCATCGCACCCCGGATTAATCCCCTCGACCCGAGAAGTTAATCCCATGTCTGTCTGCGCCTCAGTCGAGGCGAAGCATCTGACTCCATTAGCGTTGGAGTTTTCCTGGATCGTGGTCTCTGGTGGCGGCTCGACGGTCTGCGGGGTGCCTCCGTCAACGGTGACGACGCTCACCGGTCTCGGGGCGTTCTCGGACAGCGCCCCGGCCATTGTACGGCCCTGAACATCGGTCTCCACGGCAACGTAGCTCCCTCTTGGTCGTTATCCCCTTCACCGCTTCGTTTCGTTCTTCGTTCTGTTATTTTCTCGATTCTCAATGTGTAGATGTTCAAGTAGAAATACTACTTATATACATATATATATATATATATATATATATATATATACAAATATATATGTAAAAATACAGCTCCAAAAGCTATTACACACGTCCCTTAGATCCTCTGCTAGCTCTCCCCTTTTACTTCAACGTAATGTTGGTGTCTTCTTTCTTCTTACACACCAGGAGCATCGGTTACAGCTGGCTAGCCTTCTTCACCTTTCCTTGTTGCCTTGTTACACTCCTTGCATCACCAATCCACCGTTTCTCTTTCACTCGTTCACTGCCTTGAACGTGGCTCCTTTGTTCGTCGCCGGACGGATCTTACCACGAGGATTCCAGGCCTTTGATTGTATACCTCTACCTAGGTACCTCTACTCTTAAGTTAAAGACTTGCTCAAGTTAAACTATCGCTCATGGACACAAGTTCTGTCACTCATAATATAAAGACTCTCTTCTTCACCAGAATCTTTTCTTATTTTTTTTTTTTATTTTTATTTTCCACTATAAGATTTAAGAAAATAAAAATTTAGCTGTCTCTTTAAATTCTTTATTTATTTTCTTACTGTATTATTGAAATTTTTATTATTTATCGCCTGATATTAGATTTTATCTGTGAAAATTACTCAAGATTTTTTTTACTTTGGCATGAGCATTTTCCAACGGCGTACGGTAATAAAATAAAAAGTGTCTCCAATCTCGAATTTAACTGGAGGTAACGCAGGAAATAATATCCGATAACTGGTGTTTTATGTTTCAAGATGAGATAACCCAGCTATTTCGTATATGGTGACAGACTCATTAAAATTTTATTAAGCTTCTTCTGCTAAGATACTTAAGTCCTTGGTCCTTTGTCTTCTTTGTGCAAAGTTGGTTTACTTCAGCTGCAAGTGCCCTCCAATGAAAGCACCGTTTCAGCTCTGGTTAACCGGTCACGTATGCTCGGTCTGAAAATTAAAAGTGCACATTTAGTATTCGCGAATAACTAACCGCTGTATGTAATCAGTATAATAATAAAAACAACAGTCCTTGTAATAATAAAAATAATAACATAACAACAAACTGGATCTACATAATACCGCTTATTTTGGTTTTTTTTTTTTACTCTATTACTATTACTGTTACACAGAAAAAAAAATTAACTTTAATCAAGTAGATAATTTTGAAGAACTTCATCTTTTTGAAAAATTTTGAGTAGAAAAATTTTTAGACTAAAAAATTTTTGGTAATTATTTACAAGTGGGGTCAGGCCATGTTATTTTTTTTTGTTCAAATTGATCAATTTTTTTTAATTGTTTGTTTTTTAATGTATTTTTCAATAAAAAATATATCAAAAAAAAAAAGATAAAATAGAATTTTTATCTAAAAACATGAAAGCCAATTTTTTTTTCCAAGTTTTAAAGGCAAAAAAGCTATCAAAATCTTTATTTTTTCCTTTCACGATATTTTTTATAATAAATGCGTCGTAAAAACAAGTAGAATAAAAAAAATATTGATTTTTCATCTAGTTATGGCCCAACTTGTAAATAATAATAAATTTTTCTTGATTTAAGTAAATTTTAATTGATTAAAAATTTTTTCGTCTTGATTTAAGACAATGAAACTCTTCAAAATTATTTTCTCAGTTCAAGAATTTTTCTCTTAATTTTTTTTAGTGTACTGTTATTATTATAAATAAAAACTATATTTAAACTCATAACTCGGTTACCTCGTAGAATTTTTCAGCGCAATTAAAACCCCCTTAACGCGATCGATACCCGTCGAATTAAATTCCACATACTATCACGCGTTTTAAAACATCCCTTTATTTCCGTCTCGGAAGCATACGCCAGGAATTTTAATATAATTCTTCATTACTCGACATTTCTTCTACTCCATTCTATTCCCATTTTATTTGAATTGAGTATAGTACCGAGATATCTTCGCACTAGAGTCTGGAGTTTACTATTACCGTATTATATATGAACGTACTCCCTACATAATACTCTCCGTCTTCCAATATCCACTTGAACGTCTATCGTCCTACTAAAAATTAAATACATACGTTAAAAATAAAACGAGCTAACTGTACGGAAGCATTTACGCTGAAGATTATCTGCGTTGTCGTCCTCGTACTCCAAAGTCCTCTCTCTCTACTTGTGGTCGACCGTTTTGACAAACGGTACTATCGCGGTACACACACCATCGTCACCGGACTACTCAACCGCTCTACTCAGCCGCAACTTTAAATTATCCCACGCGATTGTATCCTCCTCATACTTATAAACTCATACTCTTACTCAAAGTTACATTAGATTTATATTAATTATTATTTTCTTTTCTTCACGTTCTTAATTACTTGCTACATTTTTTTTTATTTTTTAAAATTTATTCACTTTATTTTATTTAAAAAAATTTTTTTATTATTTTTTATGAATTAATTTTTTTATTTTTGAAAAATTATTCAATTTATTTTTAAAAATTTATTTAAAAATAAATTAGCTAAAAATAATTATTTGTAATTATTGATTTAAGATATTAAAATAAAATATTAGTGGAAATAATTAATTTTTTGATAAGATTTGCAAACAATAAAAATTATTTTTAATTATTAAATAATTAAATTAAACAGAAAAAAGTTTTTAAATAAAAAAAAATGAGCAATTACTTTTAAATAAAATGTAATTTGTCTGTAAAGGTAATGATACTTTAAACTGTGAATAAGAAACTCTTTATAATATATAAATAAATAAATTTAACCTCCTGGGTAGAAGATAATAAATTATAAAGGTCTCAAAAAAAAAAAAATAGTTAATAATCATCGATTGATACAATCAGAAAAGGTGAAACTATCGGCACGGTAGCATTAAAAACCCCCGTGGGATTTTAGTTCCAGATCAATCAGCTGTATAATCTACCTACGCGCCTTTTCCTCTTTCTTCCTTCCTTCCTACTCGATTGGAGTACACCTTTTAATAGTCCGATAACATAAATAAATAATCCGTGAATCTCACGACCTCGACCTGCGAACGACGTGCGTCACAGATCCCCATAGATATTGTAGATACGGAAATACCCCACGCGTTGACATTAAACGGCTGGCACACTTATTATTATATTAATAATAATATCGACGTCCTATTAATGTGAAAGTCGTGACACTGGGACATAACACCGACTCCTGTCTTCTTTACATTCAAATTTACTCCAAATAACCCACCTTCAATTGCGAATAAATATATCAAGTATCCTAGATTCATTCATACATATAACACACTGGGAAATTTGTGATACACAAAGCAGTTATCTGAAATTTTTTTTTTTTAGAGTAAACATTAGTGTCAAAAGTAAAAATTTTAAAAAGTATAAGTGTATAATTTGTTGTAAACAAATAATTATTAAATTTCTGTTTTTTTATAATAAATTTTTTTAATACTTGTTTTTAAAATTTTTAAAAATTAATTAATTTTTTTTTGTCATTAAATTAATTAAATAATTAATAATAAAATTTCTGCTTTTGTATAATAAATTTTTTTTTAATTTAGAATTTAAATTTTTTAAAAAATAACTGAAAATATTTAACAATTTTTATTTTTTAAAATTAATTAATTTAATTCTTTTGTAAATTAATTAACTAATTAATAATTAGTTTATTCTTTTGTATAATAAGTTTTTTTATTATTTAAAATTTAAATTTTTAGAAAATGACAGTGAAAATATTGATAAATTTTTATTTGTAAAAATTAATTAATTTTTTTGTCATAAAATTAATTCAAAAAAAAATTTTAAACAAAGAAAAACATAAAAAATTTTTTTGTCATTTTTTCAAAAAATAAATATGAGATACCTTCAATGTCATGTCATATAAAAAATAAAAAAAAAACACACCTTTTAAGAAAAACACTTAAAACTCACTGATACCACTTATCCAGGATCTCTTCTTTCTTTTGTACCGTAAAGTAATCCAGGAGCATGTAACTTTAATCCAATGTTGTTTCCCAGTAAATACTTAAATCCAAAAAAACGAAAACTATCTAAAAAAAAAAAAATGAAAAGTAAAACTAAAAACCGCGTGGAACCACTTGCAAAACAAGAGCAGCTTCCTCGCGGCTTAACAGGTGGACTCGCCCGCCACTGTTTGCGCTCTGGATGCTACTCAAATTTTTCATCAACTCCGAGCGCGGTTGTACGCACAAAAATAATAATAATTACTATTTTTTACAAGTTTTTCAGTGAGCACGCGCGACACAGACCTCCTACACTGACACAAAGGTAATGCACAACTGACAATGAGTACTGAGTCCAGAGCAGCTACTGGCACTAGCTTACTTGCTGTGGTTCCAACAATATACTGAGTGCTGAACGCTGGATGTTGAATGCTGGGGCAAAACCAGCGCAACGTGGACACCAGCGCCTGCGATCTCCAGAACGGGCACTCCACAAACCCGCGTTTGCACTGAAAGTCTAGATTCTCTCCCACTAAGATGTATTCATCACATCTATATCGGCTGAACGGGTCGAGGATATGCAATCCTGATGCATCTCTGATGTCGAAAATTTCAAGGATTCAATTAGTTTTTTGTTAGCAATTTAATTGTAAATAAATAATTATAAAATTTGTTGAGAAGAAATGTCAAGCTTTGTAAAAATAGCTCCATTTTTTTTTTTTTAATTACCTGTGAGTACTTTTTTAATTAAACACGAGTTAGATGTCTTTCAGTGTCATCTTCATGCTTGAGAATTTCCAGGACTCCGAATTTTTTAACTATAAAGTTGTTTATTTCTTCATTATAAGAGTGAATTAAAGAAATATCAAATGATTTGGATCTTTTGTGTCTATTGTTTTAAAAATTAGTAATTTAAATTATTTCAATTGTTAAAATTTTTTAATTTTAATTTTATGAGTGAAAGTCACTGACAGAATATTTTTTTAAATTAATAATTTACAAGTATAACAAGCAACTTACGAAAATATTAAATTAATGGATTGTGTTGATAACTATAAATTTAAATGATAATTAATATGATACTTAAATTAGCAGATATCTAATTCTTGAAATTTTTATAATAAAACAATTATTATAAAAAAACTATTTTTAATAGTTAAGATTAAAGTTTTTTTAATAATTTTATAACAATGAAATAATTAAAAAAAATTCCACTAGTCAAAATTAAGAAAAAAAATTAATTTTTTAAAGAATTTTTTTTGTTGTAATTAATTTGTTATAAAAATTTAAAAAATTGACAGATTTCAGCTAACTTTACACTAATAGAAGGATTTCTTAGCATTTAAGAAGATTTCTTTGTATTTATATTTCTGAGTATTTAAGAAATATTTCTTAAATACTAAGAAATCTTTTTAAATACTAATAAATGCTTCCATCAGTACAGTATCATAAAAATATAATACTGAAGTTAGCCGACATTTTTAATTTTTTTATTTTTTTTCAACAATTAAATTAGAGCAAAAAAAAATTTTTAAAAAATTGCATTTTCAGTTTTTCAAGTTTTCTACAAATGTAATTTTTTTTTTTATTTTTTTGTAATAATTTTTTCAATAAAAAAATTCTAAATATTGTTATAGATGTCGGCTAATTTAATTTTCATTAAAAATTCCCACTTATAATTTTTTTCTACTATAGTTTAATTGTTAAAAAAATGTATGATATTAAAATTAGCAGTCTTGACCATTTTTTAATTTTATTTTTAACAAACATTTGTTTTAAAAAAATTGAATTTTTAATTTATTGAAATTTCTACCTGTCAATTTTTTTTTGCTATAATTTGTTAAAAAAAAATCTTAAGATTATTACATATATGCTAAATTAATTTTCATAAAAATTTTTAAATCAATTAACTCGTAAATAATTAAAATTTTCGTAATTCGCTCCAGGACAATAAAGATTTATCTAAATAAAAAGTATTGCTACATCTGATCCAGTTTTGGTTTTTTTTTTTTAGCCTATATGAATTAATTTAAAACTTTACCTAAGCAATTACCCATTGGTCGTTAAAACTTTCTCGTAATTAAAGAAACAAAGTAAATGAAAATAAAATATAAAACATGACATGTATTGTAAGAACTTACTTATCCTGTTGTAATTGTAAATTACTTAACTCGAGTTTCGGATTTGGGTTTAATTGAGGGTTTTGTTGATGGATACAAAGAATCAGACAAAGCTGATTAGATACGAAAGGTCCTTTCTCCTTTATATTACCTTTACTTGCATTATATATATAACACTATAAATAAAATATATATCATATATATTGTGTCTTGCTTTCTGGATCGAGTATAAGTGTAAGTAAGTGTAAACTCCAGTGGTTTGACAGTTCCCCACCGCCCCACCGCGCGCCGCCATTGAAGCGCAACTTTTGGCGCAAGCGCCGGGAAAAATGGCGCCGGTCGTTTGAAATTTGAAACCGGACGTTTTCAAGCCTTGTTACACGATACGCCCTCGCTGCCGTGGAAATATTGAGACTCGCCCTCTACAATATAATTTAATATTTTATATGTGTACACAGTGTGTAGTGTGTAGTGAGTGTGTGTGAGTTACCGTAACCGTCGCTGTTATATTTACAAGACCAGGTTTCTCCGATCGTATTTCTTGAGCACTTGGTCTTGTTACGGAATTGTGTAGAAAGGATGATACGCCCAAGTGACAGACTTTCATGTGGTTAAATATCCACAGGAATTTGAGAGCTCCGTTGCTTATACACAATATTTATGGTATGATTGTTATTATAATTCTGTTGTAAAAATTTACAATAATGAAGTGAATAGATGGATAATATAATAATATTATTAATTTATACCGGATGGTAAAAATAATAATAATGACAATAACTTCTGCGGTACAATAAACTATTGTTGACTTTTTATTATATTTAAGATGACATTTGGTTCAACAACTGTTTATTATTCGCTTAAATTTAATAAAAAGTTTTTTTTTGTACCGCAAAAAATTTAATGAAAATTATAATAATAAAGTTAGCAGACGTCTGAAAATTTTTTAATTTTTTTTATTAATTAAATTACAACTAAAAAAATATTTGTAAAAAATTGCACTTATAGTTTTTCAAGTTTTTTACATGTGAAAATTTTTTTTTTAATTGTTTAATTGAAATTTTTTCAATAAAAAATTTCTAAAGATTTTTAAATGTCGGCTAACTTTATTTTCATTGAAAATTAAGTAACCGACATTTGGAAATTTTTAGAATTTTTTTTTATTCAAAAATTTATTACAAAAAAATTTTAAAAACAATGCCACTTTTAAAAAACTTGGAAAACTGTAAGTGCAATTTTTAAAAATATTTTTTTGTTCTAATTTAATTAATGAAGAAAAATCAAAAAATTAAAAACGTCGGCTAACTTTAGTATTATAAAAATTTATGACATTTAATTTGAGTCACTTGATTATTTTTTAATTTTATTTAACAAATAAATTTATTCTAAAAAATTATTCTTAAAAAATTTCAATTTTTTTTTTGTCATAATTTATTTGTTAAAAAAATTATAAGATATTTGATAAAGTATGAAAATTAAGTTAGTCGACATTTAAAATTTCTTTTTTATTGAAAAAATCATTACAAAAAAATAAAAGAAAATTATCACTTGTAAAAAACTTGAAAAACTATAAGTGTAATTTTTTAAAAATACTTTTTAGTTTTAATTTAATAAATTAAAAATAGTCAAAAAATTAAAAACGTCGGCTAACTTTAGTATTATAAAAATTTATGACATTTAATTTGAGTCACTTGATTATTTTTTAATTTTATTTAACAAATAAATTTATTCTAAAAAATTATTCTTAAAAAATTTCAATTTTTTTTTTGTCATAATTTATTTGTTAAAAAAATTATAAGATATTTGATAAAGTATGAAAATTAAGTTAGTCGACATTTAAAATTTCTTTTTTATTGAAAAAATCATTACAAAAAAATAAAAGAAAATTATCACTTGTAAAAAACTTGAAAAACTATAAGTGTAATTTTTTAAAAATACTTTTTAGTTTTAATTTAATAAATTAAAAATAGTCAAAAAATTAAAAACGTCGGCTAACTTTAGTATTATTGATAAATTAACTTTCATAAAATTAGCAGACGTTTAAAAATTTTCTTTTCATTAATTATTAGATTTAAAAAATTGCACTTATTGTTTTTCAAATTTTTTACAAGTGGAATTTTTTAAAAAGTATTTTTTTCAATAAGAAAAATATTAAATGTCTGACAACTTAATTTTCATTAAATGATTATTTAAAATTTTTAAAATAAATTAAAAATTAACAAAAGCAAAAATTACAACATATATTAAAAATTAATAAAAATAAATATTTAAAAAAAAAAAAAAAGATATTTATGAATAATTTTTGATTTTTAAAAATACATTATATTTTACTAATTTAAAAGGAAATTTCTATCAACAAAAAAAAATCTATAATGCTAAAACTAATGACACAATGACAATGACAATAAACCTTATATGATATGTCAGGAATGATTTTAGATCGGCTTTATTTAAATGATGAATAATTTGTTATAATTATTGAACTAAATAATATATTTAAATGTATATTAAAAACAACATGGAAGGGCGTACAGTAAAGTCGAAGTATGTAGGGTATGCTTTAGTTAAATTAAAGCACCCCAGACACACATTAACGTACCTTTGTACAAAAAACTATAACTAGTTTTATAATATTTATACACCATGTGTAAAGCACTGACATTCGGGGAATTATCGGCAGCTGCCTGAACCATTTAATTCTATTCGTAAAACGGAACTATGCACTTACAAATATAATTAGATATAAATAGAAAAATATAAAGTTGGGCTGAAATAAGTAAAAGTAAAATGAAATAAAATAAGAAATTGATGAATCTAGATAAGAGGAATAATATTTATATTTGAGAATTTATTTATTAACTTCCGACAAGTTCCCTAAATCCACTGCTCTTTCATGGTATCTATATATATTTATATATTTAACTATATTTCTACAGTAGTTAACAAGACAAGTACACACTCCGACAGTATCGGATCTGCGTTAATTATAATTTTTAATATTTTATTTATTTATTATTTAATAGATTACTCTCTAATGTAAATCTTAAGTAGTAAGTTGAAAGTGTCTAGTCACATGGCCGGGCACATTATTCGATCCTTATATCGGACCTACATATATTTAATATTTAATTTATATATATAATATAATATAATTTATGTTTATATTTTGATAGCTCTTAAGTCTTAACAGATACAAACTTTTACTTGTATTGTATCACTGTTATGCTTGTTTTTTCGTTAAAAGTACATTACAAAGTAATATAATTACAAACGTTTACATAAACATTTATAAACGCACTCACGTCACAATCGAGCGTCTAGTGCAACTGAGCACCTGTATAAATATTTCATCGCAGTTCATTAATTTATTATGTTTCTATTTTTATTTCAATAGTGTAAAACTTATCAAAATGTTGTTTTTTTTGCTGGTAAATTATTTTGTTTTTATTATATTATATTATCGCATAAAAATGCCAAAAAATTTTTTTTTCATTCTATCTCTACATACATAATTAAGAAATGACCTTGTATCTCGTGAAATATTGACATTTTTAAAGAAATAAACTCATCCTGGTGTTACACTCGCCGAGACCTTACATTTGAGTACCCACATCAATTTTTCATATATTTTATATATTTATATATACTACATATATGTATATATGAGAAATATATCAAAAATGCATGTGGGTACGCAAATGAAAGCTCTTGATGAGTATAATATCGGGATGAGCTTATATCTTTAAAAATGTCAATAGTTAAGGAAGTACAGAGCAATTTAACATGTAATTAAAAAACGACCTTGTATCTCGAGAACTATTGCCATTATTAAAGAAATAAGCTCATCCTGATGTTACACTCACCGAGACCTTACATTTGAGTACCCACATCAATTTTTCATATATTTTATATATTTATATATATTACATATATGTATATATGAGAAATATATCAAAAATGCATGTGGGTACTCAAATGAAAGCTCTTGATGAATGTAACATCGGGATGAGCTTGTATCTTAAAAAACGTCAATATTTAAGAAAGTACAGTGCAATTTAACAAAAGTAATTGTTTAATAGTTGCTAGTTTATTTTTTAAAATGATCAAATATCTGCTAAATTAATTTTTATGTTAAATGACGAAAAAAAAAAATTTTATACCCCACTTTGGCATTTTTTACGCGTAATATAATATATAATATAATAGCTCACAATTATCAGTATCTGTTTTCATTATTTATTGTTATTATTGTGTATAAATATACGGCAATTACGTCACATACAATAGTAAACATAATTCTGTGATGCTTGTTCCAGCGTAAAACAAGTAAAGGCATTGGCAAAAAGAAATATCGATTAAAAATCGACATTTATTTTTATTTATTCTGGAAATTGCTCAATAGTCAGTCTTCCTGTTAGTTGTGTATTTTTTTTTCTTTTTAATTATTATTTTATTGTTAATTTAAAACAGTAGGAAGATATTATTTTTATTTGTTTAGTTTGTCATTCACCTCATTTTTTTTTTTTTCATTATAAAAAAACTAGCTTTGTTACTACCGGTCGTAACGACGTTTATTACTGAACTACTTTTTTTATGCGTAAAAAATCTCGGCGATAAACCGTCGAGGAGATTGAAAATAAAACTAGAATGAGAATGAGAATTGTAAAAATAAAAACGAAGGTTCTGAATGGAATGTGTTACGATGATTCGGAAGAGTTTCAATGATAATGGCAAGTCAGACGCGTTTTATTTAGATGTTTGTATTGTATTGTATGAATAAACTGAGTAGAGCGAATAGTGACGAAAAGTAAGCTCGCTTTAGTATGTAATGTACATAATATAGTATATATATTATGAGGGTGTAGTGTCTTAGTCTAAACTAGAGGAGGTGAGCGTTGTGTACATGTACAGAGTACAGTAGTTGAATTAAGTCCCACGTGCGACACTCTCAGTTTAGTATAAACATATAAACTTTTATGGCTATCATGAAAAAAAGATGAGCCCTAGAAAAACACTGACACTGGTTTACGAGGCTTAAAACGATTTCATTTTCATTTAAAGCCATATATAACATTCACTTTATTTTGTTTTGTAAATTTTTTGCTAAATATTTACAAGTGGGGCCAACTATTTTAATATTGATTTTTTTAACAAAATTTTTATTTGATTTTATTGATATTTTTTTTTAAATACGTAAAAAAATGATCAATTAAAAAAAAAAAAATTGATTATCACAATTTTAACAAATTTTCAAAAAAATTTATAAATTAAAAAAAATATTGTGATATTTAATTTTTTTTATATTGTTCATTTTTTGATGTACTTTTCAAAAAAAAATATAAAAAGAAAATAAAATATAAATTTTATCCAAAAACATGAGAGCCAAAATTTTTTCCAACTTTTAAAGCCAAAAAAGCTGTCGAAATCTTTATTTTTTTTTTTTTCACGACATTTTTTTATTATAAGCGAAAATGTTAATTTTTCACCTAGTTATAGCCCAAAATAAAGTTGACCGCACTTGTAAATAATTACCAATTTTTTTTTACTTTTTTTCTTTGATATTAAAAATAAAATATAAGCTTACAAAGAATAAAAATTCACCCGAGCTCGGAGAGCAGTCTGTACTGCTAAATAAGAAGACAGATCAATATATTTGTTGAGTGATCACCGGAGCAGAGGAACAGAACAAAAAATGTGCTGCTAAAAGTGGTGTTGCTCAATCGACCTGTTACGTTATTTATATTATTCATCTTCTGGCTATCCTCGATCTACTTCACAATGAAGTGCGTGACTCTCGATCTCCATCTACGGCTAACGAATTGAAATCACGCCGATCTATGGCAGCAATACAAGTACAGAGAACAAAGTATATTATTGTTACTTTTATAATAATATATTGTTATTATTAGTGTTATTTTTTAAGTGGGTGGTGAGGAGATTATGAACTGAGCCCTTGCCGTTTTTCCTCCTCGAGCATCGCGTCCAGCTCATCTGTCAAGTTGGCCAGCATGTTACCGATGTCATTTAATACGTCTGCGGGCTCATCTCGCCCGGATTCATTTCCAACTACGTGATGGTGGTGCTGCGGATGGTGGTGGTGAGAGTGATGCTGCTGGTGGTGCCCCATTATGTGACCGCTTAAATTTGGGGAGTTTTGCCCGTACTCCTGAACTCTCGCTACACGTTGTTTTATTGTACCCGCGTTCTCATTCGCAAATGGTAGAGAATCAGATTCTGTACTCGAACTTGACTGAAAAATTATATTTTTAATGGTGACTCATTCTTAAGTAATAAAATATTAATAAATTGGAAAAATAAAATAGAAGACACCCATTATTTTAAAATTAAAAATAAATATTTAATTAATGTTACTCCATTTTTAATTCTTTAATAAATGGAATTAGAAGGTTAATAATCATTCATAAATAGATGCATAATTAAGAAATGACATTGTATCTTGTCAACTATTGACATTTTCAAAGATATAAGCTCATCCCGAAGTTACACTCATCAAGACCTTTCATTTGAGTACCCACATGACACTTTTCATATATTTTATATATATGGTATTTGTGAAATATATAAATATATAAAATATATGAAAAATGCCATGTGGGTACTCAAATGAAAGCTCTCGATGAGTATAACTTCAAAATGA